ACGTGGCTGTTTGCCCCGCAACGAAATAACGCGCGACTGCACGATCAGGCATCCCCTCGCGGTCCTGTCGAGGTCCCGTGGTTAGGGGGGAGGTGCCGATCACGCGGCGCGGCACGGCAAATGGGGCTGTGTTTTGGGGATTTTTACCTGAAGTATGTGCATGCCCCGTTGGGTGCTTGTGCGCATCCCTGGAGACTTCGGGAAAAAAAACCCTTTTCGCAATGGGGCATGGGCGGTGCCGGATGCCACCGGAAACGTGATCAGACGCCCGCCCTTGCCCCGCGGTTTCCGGAAACTAGTACCTCCAAGGTACTAGTTTTTTGCCGCGCATCTTCGGCGGGAAGCCTCGGTTGAGCCACGGGAGCTCTACGCTTCCCAGATGTGGCGGTGAGATCGCGTCCAGAAAATCCGCCTATCTTCCATCTCTCTAGTGTGCTTAATGCTCTGTGTGACCGGGGCCTAGGTAAAGTATCTGATCCTTTTGGACACCAACAGCCCTAAAGACAGTTCACATTAAGTACCTTTGCACTAGAAATAGTTCACAAGAGTAACTTCTGATCCAAATTCCAAAGGTGTGGCCGTGTTGAAGTACATCCTAAACAGATTTATAGCCCTCTGTCCATCGGACATTGCTTATGATTGCACTGTTATTCTGCGGCGGTCAAAACAAGGTGCCTTGTAGCCCAGCAAGGAAAACAACACACCACACACTGGCTGTCACATCCATTGGAGCTAAAACCTCTCTGAAGCATCGTTAGTCTAGAAAGATGATCTTTCCCTCTAACAGGGGAGAGGCCAGACCTTGTTTACAGATAGCCCCCAACATGAAGTAACAACTCACCAGGAATAAAATATCACCCAATGGAAATGCAAACCCAAGGTACAAGTAACAGAATCACAGGACCCCACTCAAGTAGCAGTACCGCAGGACCCCAGTAACATTAGCCATACCATGAAGGGCTCATTCACCTACACGCCCTCTTAACATGAAATATACTATGATGTGCTAGCAATCTGTTGCCATGCAAGCCTATCAATGTTTTTTAATGAACTGTATGGACTGTGCAAAGGGACTGTACAACATGGTGACCTAAAAATACCTGTTGAGACTGCACACCTGAAAGAGGGACACCTTCCTTTAGCGTTGCTGCTCCAGAAGTATTCCAGAGTCATCAGCCATCTCGCCTGCTGTGAGATGAAGCAGTCCCATAAGCCTGCACAAAGCCTCAGATGCCATGCCATGGAAAAACATGAGGACAGAGGACTCCAGATGCCATTAGGAGCTTCTTCCAACACATGTAGGCAACCTCTCTTCCCCCTCTCCCAGCTACCTACAAATCTAATCAAGAGATTCTATTCATGGTTGAATAGCAACTAATTGCTCACCCATCAGCAAGCCGCTTGGGCAATCAAGAGACAATAGCCTCCTGCTAACCCCCCTCCCTCCAGGAGGTTGGGCGATGCCCCCGGTGAGCCGGGAAAGCATCAAAGGAGCAAAGAGGGGAGTAGGCAATTCGGGAGTTCTCAAGAATGCCTGCTCGCTCACTGCGCCGTACCGGAAACTGTAATTTTTGGTTGGATATTTGTTTGTTGTTTATCTGTGTTTGTTCTGTCTTTAAAATTCAATAAAGAAAGTATTAAAAAAAAGAGAGACAATAGCCCTAGCCTGATGATTCAATCATCCTTCATCCAGGTGCCAGTCCCCAGACCAAGTAACTAGCTCTCAATATTTACCACCCCCTAGCCCTCCTCCCCCTTTCCCTCTAACCAAAAGTATGTTTTATGGGATGGACTAACAGGAGGTGTCACGGGGGGGATGTGGCCAGCTCAGCCTGCCCCCCCACACCACGTTATAAAAGATGCTTCCCAACTACATGGTCTCTCTCCCTCCCTCTCCAAGACCCCTATCGAAGCTTTAACCCTCTTATGTCCAGCTTGCTATCTATATACCATACCTCCATCTTTAAACGCTAGTCTGCAGCTAGAGTCCAGGTGGTTCTGCCGGTTCAGAGCATGTGCTCCCCATCTTCTATTTCTAACCCCTCCATTTTCCCATTGGAACGGCTCAATCAATGAGGACAGGTAACTATCACCCAATCAACGAATGTCCTGCTAATGCAAATGTGTTTATGATCTATCTTTATTTATGAGAGTATGTCTGTGTGTGTGCGCGCGTGAGTATTGTTTGACTGAGACATCTCCATCAGTAAAAGACATTATATTTTACCAATCATAGTCTCTGTGTCTGTTCTGGTACTTACAGTAAAGGTCATCATGTAGAAGCAGCCCTGCAGCCAGGATCTTTTTTTCTCAGGGGGGGGGGTTCCGGGGTGCCGCTAATTAAATTAAATTTAAACCACCCCCTCTATTAGGAAAGGGCAGCACAAGGGGCAGAGAGAAGCCGGGTGTGCAGGCCCCCGCCGGCAGCCGGATGACCCGCACCGGAAGCCACACTGCCCCTCATCTTCGCCCGTACGGTGGGGCTCTGCCTTAATCGCGGGGTGGGTGGGTGGGCTCTGCCCTTAAAGCCCCACCACTGGCTAAACAACTGTAATGTATCCAGTCCAGACAAGTCCAGAGACAAACGTCGAGCTTCGCTCCAAGAGACAATGGACTATGCGGATCCTAGTCCGCTCCAATCAGTGGGCTAGGTTCCCGGCCGAGAGCCTATGGGACTCTCAGCCACTGTAAATAACCTATAGGGAAGTAGGGGTGTGTTTTGGGTGGCGGTTTCTCGGGGGATATAAGCCGGCCTGCGAGCCGGCCAAAGTCGTCTTGTTCCGGATACAATAAAGTACGCTTTGCTGAAATCACTCTCCGTTTGCGTACTTTTCAACAACTATCACCTATTTTGTCTCAGTTTGCATAAAACACTTACCTCTGTAGATTGTGGACTTGGTTTCAGGCACATAAGGTTCCCTTCCATGGTAAGAGTCGTCAGTTTGGTGCAGAGCCCTAGATATTGAACCTGGCCAATGTCCTCAATGCTGTTTCCTTCTAGGTCTAGAATCTCAAGATGTTCCAACAGGCTCACTGGGCTTAAGTCAGCAATATTGTTGTAGGCAACGTAAAGTTCCTAGGGAGGAAGGATTTAAGTAAGCGATATTAAGCAGAGGCATTGAATGAATGGCTTCTAGTCTTTTGGATACAGCACAATATTTTATTTTAGACTGGCTAATAATTTTGAACTCTCAGGAACCAGGAATCAGCTTGAGTACAATATGTGATAGATTGTGGTGGTGATTCCTTTCTGCACAATAGTGTTTTGGGAACACAACATAAAATTATATTTTTAAACATATTTAATTCCTATTGGGTATATTTAAAAAAAAGATTCTAGGGCTTTTAAATGTTTAAAGTCTGATTTACTTCCACGTATAGTCGTCAAAATGGGTAAAGTCCCTTGAAAGAAAAAAGGATAAAGTCCCTTGAAAGAACTAATGAATAGAAGTACAAGGAAACTAAATATTGAGTAAAACCAGGGCTCTTTTTGTAGAAAAAGCCCAGCAGGAACTCATTAGCATAATAGGCCACACCCAACAGCAAAATCCATTAGCATATCAGGCCACACCCTGTCAGCATGGCTCATTAGCACATGAGGCCGCCCCCCCCTTTTTACCAGAAGTGTGGTCCCCCAGCCACACCCACCTTTCCCTTCTTATTCTGTTTACCTTGTTTGTTGTCAAATCCCAGGGCTTTTTTTGTAGCAGGAAGTCCTTTGCATGTTAGGCCGCACACCCCTAATGTAGCCAATCCTAATGAGTTTCTGCTGTTGGGTGTGGCCTATTATGCTAATGAGTTCCTGCTGGGCGTGGCCAACTCGGGAGCCAGCTGGAACTCCGTTCCTGTGCGTTCCTGCCCCAAAATAGCCCTGAGTAAAACTATCAAGTGTAGGAATGTGTCAAGATTGCCCTACCTTCAAACAACAGCAGGAAGAGATGCCATCTAAATCCGAAAGCCCACAGCGAGCCATCCAAAGGACTTGAAGATGTGACAATGCCGTTCCGAGGTCCCTTAAGAGAACAACAGTGGCAACAGAGACTTTGAAGCCCGGCTCACCCACCAGTTATCACATTAGATTTGTATTCAGCAGTTCACGTAAGTGGAACACTGGAGAAGGAAACTCCCAGAAATTACATTTCTGTCAGCAAAGGTCTGTGATTACGCATCGTACCGTGTTCAGGTTTTAAAAATAGGGTGACAGCATACCACCTACATCCCCAGAAATAGTGTTCTTTGTTCCAACATCTGGAGGGGGAAGTGCGGAACTGAAAAGCATCATGAGCATGCCTCAAGTAGAAAAACTATGGCAGACTTAGGCTGCGGTCACACGGGCAGGAAAATGCGGGGGGGGGCGGGAAGCGTGGCTGTTTGCCCCGGGGCAAAATAATGCACGGTTGCGCGAGCAGACATCCCATGGAGGTCCCATGGAGGTCCGTGGTAGGGGGGAGGTGCCGATCACATCACAATCCTGCGGCGCGGCAAAGAAGCGCCGTGGCAAAAGGGTGGGGGGGTTTCTGTACACCAACGTGTGCGCATGCCCCGTTGGGTGCTTGTGCGCATCCCGAGGACACTTGAAGGGGGGAAAAAAACCCTTTTTGCGAGGGGACATGGGCGGGCGCCGAATGCCATGGGATTCCACCGGAAACGCGATCATGTGCCCGCCCTTTCCGGAAACTAGTACCTCTGAGGTACTAGTTTTTTACCACGGATCTTCGAAGTGAAGCCTCGGGTGAGCCACAGGAGTTCTACGCTTCCCAGATGTGGCGGTGAGATCGCACCCGGAAAATCCGCCTATCTTCCGTCTCTCTAGCGTGCCTAATGCTCCGTGTGACCGCAGCCTTAGAATATGTACGGGGGGGGGGGGCAATCTACAGGCAAGTTGGGCCCTGGGCAATGAGTTGGAAGCATTGTCTTCTTCTTAGAGACACTAATGCACACCCAGACAAACATGTATCCCTGCATGGGGACAAAATGAGCACTAGATATGGTAGTGTATTCTCCATTTTTATCCTTCAGATTTCTCTTTGCACACCTCAAGGTTTAAATCAATCTTCTACGTAGGAGAAAGAAATGAATGAAACGAAATGAAAAGAAATGAAATGCAATGAAAGCTCTTTCAGTCCCTAAGTATCCATTGACAAGGGGGCTGCCCATGGAACTGTATGTACCGCAACTAGGCCTGCCCACCTCCAGGTGCAGCTGGGGATTCTCCCAAAATTACAGCTTCTCTGCAGGCTACAGGAATCAGTTCCTTTGAGAAAACTGCAGCTTCAGAAGGTTGACTCTGTGGTATCATAGCCCTACTGTGACCCTTCCCCTATCCAAAACAACCATCCTTCATAGGCCCCACCAATAAATCTCCAGAAATTTCCCAACCCAGAACTGGCAAACTCTAACTGCAACTCAAATGTAATCTGAATTCATTGAAAACTTAAAACTTGTCCTTCACATCATATATCTAATTCTGAATCGGCATGGAGTGTGGGTCAACAGATCAGTAAAATGGAGCTAGGGAAATATAGGGGTAGATAGGTGGGATTTCATTACAAACCTAATGGAAGTCACATGTTTGCAAAAAAAAAAAATTCAAATCTGAAAAAAGTACATTAGTGGAATAACCCGCCCCCCAATAATAGACAAATGCCTGTCGCTTTAAGAAAAGAATGCTTGCTGAGCTCTCAGTCACCATTTTGGAGGTTGCTAGGAAACCACAACAATGTTGCTAAGACAGATTCTTTAAAGCAAAGACATGGAGGGGAGCACAGTAGGACTGGAAGGCCAGAACAACCGTGGAAAGGGTCCTGTCCCCCTCCAATAGGGTTGCCAAGTGAGAACTCAGCAGCAGCGGGGGACTTCCGGCTGGCGGCTGCAGCACACATCCACGTCGGCCGGAAGTGACGCGGGCACGCCGGGCATGCTGGGGGCGGGACCACAGTCATCTGAGGGAAAACCCAGTCATGTGACCTGATGGTAAAGGACTCATCAGGCCCTCCACCACTCAGCCCAGCATCCACTCCGTGCCTGAGTACAGTCTGGCACCATGGGGGGGGGGGGCAACCTTGTAACTGGGCCATACCTGCCCAGCAGTGGTCACCAACCAATTGGTCCCTGCACTGGTACCCACTGTGCAACTCAGCTAGACTTCCCTGGGGAGAGGCTGCCAGGGGAGGAAAGGAGGGAAAGCTGAAGGTGGGAGAACAGATAAAGGTAGGTAGGCCGGTAGGTGGGAAGAGAAGAAAGCCGGAGATGCCGTGGGGGCTGCCAAGGAAGGCAAAGAAGAAACAGTAGGGGAGCAGGTAAAAGGTAAAGGTTTCCCTTGCTCGAAAGCCAGTCGAATCCGACTCTAGGGTTGCAGTGCTCATCTCCGTTTCAAAGCCAAAGAGCCAGCGCTGTCCGAAGACGTTTCCGTGGTCATGTGGCCGGCATGACTAAACACCAAGGCGCACGGAACGCTGTTACCTTCCCACCAAAGTGGTGGTACCTATTTATCTACTTGCAATTTCTTGCTTTCTTTTTTTTTTGTACAAAACTTTTATTTTTTGGATATAATATCACATTTAACATTGGCTTTCACTTATCCAATACCCATATTTCCCTTTCCCCCCTCCCTTGCTAGTGGCTTCCCGCAGTGCTCGACCCTTTTTCCCTTTACAATACTTATATTTGCTTAAACATTTTAAAATTGCTTAAATGTTAAACATAACATTTCTATCAATATTGTTCTAAATACAATAAATTGTGTTTAACATCCCAGTTTTCCTCTAGATAGTCTTTAAAATCTTTCCAGTCTTCAAAAAATTCTTGATCTTTTTTGTTACTCAACTTTCTTGTAATGCAATTTCTTGCTTTCGAACTGCTAGGTTGGCAGGAGCTGGAACCAGAGACGGGAGCTCACTCCGTCATGCGGCAACTCGGGTCTCGAACTGCTGAACTACCGCCCTTCCACAGCCAGCAGTTCAGCGTCTGAACCAAATGAGATACCCCTGCAAGCCCTCATGGGTCCCCCTGGTTGTTATACTGTGAAATGCATCTATTTGTTGCTAACCCCAATCTGCAGCCACAGAGATTACATTCAGCCATTTCTCTAAGCAATAAAGGAGAGAGGCAGGAAAGTGAATAAAAGGATTTGTGCCTCAGGACTGTTGATACAGAATTGCTCACTAACAGCTTCCCAGAATCCAGATGATCTAACGACAGACTTCCATAATTCACATTCATGACATCTAGCTTTCCCAGCCTGACATTTTTTGAAACCAAGAGGAAAAAAACAGCATGGGTTAGCAGCACTGAATAGTATTTTGGTGTACAACGATGTACAATGTATTCAGGCAGTTCCATACTGTCTAACATAACATGTGTAAACTTCATTACATAATACCTTGTATTTTAGCAGATGTTATTTAAACTCCAGTGTATATTAAACTATTCTTGTGTGAATAGCATTGATCTTCTATACCTAAACGACAAGGAACTATGTCATAGGTCACTTAAAGGCCATCTTTTATCGTGCTTTATGACTATATAACAGTTCTGAAACATCGAGTGTTTAGCTGTAATTCAAACAATTACTTTGCTGAAATTATGAATCCAAAAAAAGTGCTTCCTCTTCCTCTCACCCTGAACTATCCCGCTTCCCAGTCCTTCCCAGTGCAGGCTAGCTGAAGCAAGAGCAAAATTGGATGGCACAGAAGCAACAAGTTTCTGGAAAGTCCAGCATCGGCTGCCAGAGGCCTTAGTGTGACATAAAGAGGGCGCTGCATTCGTCGGGTCCATGTGAGCGCAGCTGAGCAAATGCAAAGTGTAGAAAAAAGAGTGCCCTTTCCACACTGCTTTGTCTTGCTCCATTCCCTAATTTGCAGACCCATATCTCCATGGGGTTGCTGGGATCCAGACAGCCCTTGCAGGCCTCCATATGAAACATCCCTCTGATACTGGCCAGCTCTGCTCCAGTTTGCAAAATGCTACCAGACAAGCCACACTGCAGCAGCAGCCCTTGAATCCCACACTGCTGTTGCTGAAACAGCCTGTTACACCTTCCAAATACAGAAATTCCACTAGTAGAAAACAGCATCAAAAATTGCCAAACAATATATTAAACAATTATGAAGTTGGTGGTGTCACAACAACATTAGTGCATACTGTAACTATAATAAGGCATAACATACAATATTTCCTCTTTTGTAGATAAGACATAAAGTCCATGTAATCAGTGTAACTTGATAGGAGTCCACATAGTCATAACATTGCCCAAACAGCCTTTGCAAAGACGCCCGTTCTAGATACTTAGAAGATGCATTTCCTTCGACTTCTTCCATTTGCCGGCTATATAAGTGGATTTACCCAAATGCCTAAACTCGAAAATACATATGAAAAACAGAATTGTTTTTTAAAAAAACCTGCCCCAAAAATACACCCACCCTTCCAGCAATTTCAACAGACCACAAGGTTCATAGTGTAAGAAGCGAATCATAGGTTCTCCATCTGACCAGAGCCCACAACAAACAGAGACACCTGAGCAGGGCGAACACAGCAAACTTTAATGGAGGGAGCCAAATACCAGTCAGTGGCGAGGATGAGATCACAGTGCTTCGGAGTGCAGCACCAAGTGCTCCATTTCCTCCAGGGGCACCTGCCCAATGGGCCAGGGGACCAACACTCCAGGGACCATGGATGTCCATGAGGCCTTCTGTGGGCTCCCTTCAGCTGTGGACAGGAGACACGGAAGGCTTGTGGCTCAGTGGCTGGGCTGCCAACTCTCCCTGCTCAGCAGCTGTGTTAGAAGGGGAACACATGGAGAAGCTGGTATCAACAGCCCTTGCTGACGCAGTGCAGTGGGTGCGCCTCGGGCACGTCAATGCTGCAAGGTGGCCCCCCCCCAGGGCGCTGAATCCTGACTTCCCTCACCAGTGTTGCTCTCAAGTCTGAACCAGCACCAACCGGGGGGAGCCCTTCTCCAGCTGCATCGGGGTGATCTGCTCCTGCGAGGCAAAGTGTTCGGCCAACGTGTGCT